CAGCTCATGACAAAACTCGCGTGCTCCCCGCAATTGGCACCCAGCAGGCAGCACCAGCCCCCGCTCCAGAGCCTTCCATCCTGCCCCTTCCCAAACCCCCATCAAACACTAACCCAGTCTCCTCGCTCTCAAGTCATTTCCCACCTGCCTGGGAGCCACTCTATCTCCCAGAAACTAATCTAAAGCAGCTACACTCTCCAAAGTACACGCTGCTGACTTAAATACACACAAGTGTGCTAACAGGCCCCGACGATCCAATGCAAACGCGTGGAGGTAACGAAAGAACCTCCCATTCCACCTTGTCAGCAGACAGCGTTTAGAGATCTCCTTTGCTGATGTAATGCGAAATAAGGGTAACTGACAGTGCAAGTTCCGCACTTAACTTCAGCCTAAATGACCAAGGCGCTGTAGGCATTAGCGTTCGTTCACAGCCCTCCTCCTCTTAGAGCCAAGTGTATTAATAGGTTCCGACAATCTGAGTGGAGATGACAAGAGGCTCCCATTCTATGAGTGGAGATAACAAGCTCACGACAAAACTCGGGTGCTCCCCCCATTGGCACCCAGCAGGCAGCACCAGCCCCCGCTCCCAGAGCCTTCCATCCTGCCCCTTCCCAAACCCCCATCAAAACACTAACCCAGTCTCCTCGCTCTCAAGTCATTTTCCCACCTGCCTGGGAGCCACTCTGATCTCCCAGAACACCTCATTTTGTGAGTTATAAACCTTTCACACCTTCTCGGTTCCTGTGTGGTATCACCAGCCTCAATTTCCAAAATAAATTTTGGGTCAGTAGTGGGGGTGGGGTCCATCTAGTTCTGCAGACTGGGAACAGCACAGAAGCTATCGGACTTGCTGTGCACATATTCCAATTTGGGTGCAAAAGCCTCCCCACTGGACTGGGTGGCCTCTTGTCAGTGACAAAACCAAGGGATTTGCTACTCTCTCGTTTACACACACCGGTTACTGAGTGCCTCCTGCTGAACACGTTCACTTCCGGGGAAAATTCGTTGTTCCAGACCAAGCTCACTACTGTCTTCACTGGACATTTCTAAGAGGTGCTTTTGGTCCCAGGGAAATGCTCCGGAAGCTGTGAAGTACAACAGCCTTAGGCCCTGTCCCAAAGATTCTAATTTAATGGCTGTAGGGTGGGGCTAGGACCTCAGGATGATTCACTCCACGGAGCTATCGAGCTATTGTCCTCAACTATAGCCAAGGGGTGATAAGCACTGTTAGACACAGAAGGAATTTACACTCCCCTTCAGGAAAGACCTTTGTAGGTATGACCTCCTTTGGCTGTCATTGTTCAGAATGGTTGCAGGTCTGGCAAGAGCAAGTCTTAGGGTTAAGACTAAACCCAGTTTATAGGATTTAAGTTCTCTAGATGGGAGATGGGACAACTGGGGATGCTCACTTGTTCACATGTACATCTGCCTTGTGTATTTCCACCAGAAACTGTTCCTTATTATACTATCTGTCTGGGCCGATCCCTCCTGTCGTAAGTTGAGACAAGTAAATTACAAAGTCCTAATCACCTAATTTTGGTGGAGTCTTTAGGTTTTTCCAAATATAAGATTACATCACCTTCAAACAAGGATAATTTGACTTCTTCCTGTCCTTTTTTTTTTTTTTTTTTTTTGAGACAAAGTCTCAGTCTGTCACCCAGTCTGGAATGCAATGGCACGATCTCCGCTTACTGCAACCTCCGTCTTCCTGGTTTAAGCGATTCTCACGTCTCAGCCTACCGAGTAGCTGGAACTACAGGTGTCTGCCACCATGCCCAGCTAATATTTTTATTTTTGTAAAGGCGAAATTTCACCATGTTGCCTAGGTTGGTCTTGAACCATTGGACTCAAGCAATTATCCTGCCTCTGCCCCCCAAAGTGCCAGGATTACAGGTGTGAGCGACTGCGTCCAGCCAGAATAATTTCAATCTCTGGTAAATGCACCTGATAGAATTCTGCATTTCCAATTTCTTTTTTTCCTTTCCTTTCCTTTCCTTTTCTCCTTCCCTCCCTCCCTCCCTTCCTTCCTTCTGACAGAGTTTCTCTCTTGTTGCCCAGGCTGGAGTGCAATGGCATGATCTCAGCTCACCACAGCCTCCTCTTCCCAGGTTCAAGCAATTCTCCTGCCTCAGCCTCCCGAGTAGCTGGGATTACAGGCATGTGCCATCACGCTAGGCTAATTTTGTATTTTTTGTAGAGACGGTTTCTCCATGTTGGTCAGACTGGTCTCGAACTCCTAACCTCAGGTGATCTGCCTGCCTCGGCCTTCCAAAGTGCTGGGATTACAGGTGTGAGCCACCACGCCTGGCCATTTTCTCCAGTTTCTTTAAATTTCCTCAAAATTGCTATTTTGAATTCTCTGTCTGAAATGCCACATGTCTCAGTTTCTCTGGAATTGGTCCCTGGTGCCTCACCAAACATGGTTTGGTGAGATCGTGTTTTCTTGGATAGTCTTGATGCTTGTGGATGTTTGTTTTATGTGCGCATGGAAGAATTAGGCATTTATTGTATTTTTCACAGTCTTGTTTCTGTGTGTTCTTCTTGGGAAGGCTTTCTGGGTATTCCAGGATATGTGTGCCCCAAGCCCAATCATGCCGTGATTCTTACAGTAGAGGTACTACCCTGGTGGTCTTGGATGAGATCCGGAAGAATTCTCTGGATTACCAGGCAGAGACTCTTGTTCTTTTCCCTTACTTTCTCCCAAATAAATGGAGTCTCTCTCTGTGCTGAGATGCCTAAGCAACCCTGTGCTGGTTCAGACCCAAACCCAGCACAGCACCGGGTCTCACTCAAAGGCCTGCTATATTCACTACCCGGCTACCACCTATATTCCCTCAAGGTCATAGAGCTCTACGATCAGGTGGCCAAGCCAGCCAGGATTATGTCCCTCCCTTTAGGGCAGTGAGCTCCCCCAAGCCCTGCATGGGTTCTGGGATGCTGTCTAGGAGCCAAGGTTTGGAGTCAAGACCTTAGAAATGTAACTGATGTTTTATTCTACTGCAGTTAAGCTCCTATGCAAACCATGAGAAA